CTACTATTTGTTGAAAACTGCAAAACTCTTTAACTATGCACTTCACATAAAACATTGTTATAAATTCAATGTTTGTTGGCCCTCACTTTGAAATGTTTACGATGAAGTTCTAATCATCCATGTGATGGTATTTGGAGATTGGAGCTTTAGGAGGTAATCACAGTTGTATGGAACTCACAAGAGTTGAGTCCTCATGACCCAATTAGTGACCTTATAGAAGACACCAAAAAGCTCATATTCATTCATTCTCTCGCTCTCTCTACTATATGAAAACATAGTGAGAAGGTAGCAGTCAGCAAGGCAGAAAGAGAGCTCACCTGAGAAAGAGAATCTGTCAATACCTTGATCTTGAACTTTCCAGCCTCTATGATTGATTTTTAAAATTTCTGTTAACTCACTTAGTCTGTGAATATTGTTATGGCAGTTTGGGCAGAATAATAAATCATGCAATTCTTACATGGCTCTAATTATTATCCACAAATCACAGATCAAGAAACTGAAGACTAAGAAACAGTTAAAGGAAAAATATAAAGGTCAGTATCACTCAAAGACATCAATCCAAATAAAAATCGTATGATTCCATTTTTCATTCATCATGTCTGCAATGACTAAAATGTATGATACAAAGTGTAGGCAAGTTTATAAGGAGAAAGGCTAACTGGATGGGAATGCTAATTGGTTTAACCCTTACTGCTGGCAATCTGAGAATATATGTCAAAATTAAAAATGCACCTGAATCTAGGATGATGTGTCAGAACACAAGGGTGGGGGGGCATTCTTGCAAAGGGGAAGCATAGTGTTTTTGGGTCAGAGACTAGTCAGACTGAAGAAGTCATCCAAATGCTGGAGTGATAAGGGGAGAGGGATGGCAGGACATAGAATGTAGAAGCCTAAGTGGAGTAAGAAGGACCTCTCTCCCTGGGTGGAGGAACAAAAGACTGGTTAGTAACTGCATAATCCTACCTGTAAGTGAACATGACATCTAAAAATACTCCCCTGGTTAAGAACCACTATAAGATATCCTCAATTATTCCAGAATGCTGGCAGTATTAGGGAAGAGCCCATCTGTTGTCTGCCTCAACACATAGACTTCCATTAATAACAATAATGCCTCACCTAGGAATTTCCTAAGCGGGAGTGGGGAGGAGGACTGCACAGCACTCTTGATTTCTTCACTTCACAGAACAGGTCTACTGGCTTAGAAAAATTACAGAATACTTAGCATAAAAATATTCTTTTGAAAATACCATTCCTCCTAGAGGCATACTCTATTTCATTTTAAATATTCTAAAAAGGTTTCTCCTCAAATAAACCCAAAAAACTCACAAACAAACAAACAAAACCAACTTCTGGGTTCTGGGACAGGAAGTAGAGAATAAAAGTATCAAAAGGCCTACTTTACTCTTCCCACTTTGACCCCTCTCCCATTTCTAAGTGTCACAGAAAGCAGATTAATGAAAATATTTAATACTCTTTCAATATATGTGTGATATGAAGTTATTTTAAGTTTCAAATAAATTATAGAGTTTTTCAGTTTTAGAGCCCACTCTACTACTACCAACTTAGCTGTATGGTCTTGACAAGTTCTATTTTCTCTAGACATTAAGTACCTTTCCAGTTCAAAAATTCTCACCATGCCAATTTCCAAACATATAATTATTTATGTCCAGAATGCTAAACATCTACCTAATGAAGCCTATTCTCAGTTGAAATAATCAAGAAGTTGGAAAATGCACTTCATAAATATCCTAAAAATGATTTTAACAGTTCCTGTATGCTGATCAGATTACACTCCCACCAATTAGAATAATTGTGAGGAACTGTCAATTCAACAAAGCCACAGACTAAATAATGGGAGGGGACATTTTTTTTTTTTTGTACCTACAGAGAATCATCCCATATACTCTATCATTGAAAAAGAGCTATTTAGAAGAAAGAGTAAGATGTCTATGAAGACCACAGTATCTAAGTTCCCTTTTTAAATAGAAATTCCCTTCCCTTAAAATGAACTGACATCCTAGCAAACAAGTTCTTATGAGGGATGAAATGTAGCAAATATACTCTTAAAAGATGAACAATCCATTAGTCAAGGAGGGATACATAATTTCAATAGTGTTTTTTTCAGCAGGCTCTTCCTTAGAAGCTACCATAGACAAAGGATATCATCTACCTTTTGTAACTTAGAGATCCAACAAGGCCTTTGAAAGTAAGACCACATATAGACCAGTAAGATTTTTATAGTCAATTTATTCTATTTGTTAATAAGTTTGTCAATAGTATATCATAAAGACAATACTAAGAAAAAAAATTTTAAAGAAAACAAAAAAGTTAGAAAGTTATTCAGGACATTAATAATTGAACTGAGGGCCTCCCCTGGTGGCGCAGGTGGTTGAGCGCTGGGCTGTGAAGCTGTCAGCAGCCTCTGCAGTGTGGGTTTGATCCCGGCTGGCCAGCGAGGGTCCCACATGGTGCGGCAGACCTCTCCTGTTGCCCACTGCTCCCCTCAGCAGTGTATTTCATCAGTCTGGCTATTCTGCTTCCCGCTCTGTCTCTGGTGAATCGAATCCTCTCACCCTCCCGCGCATCTGGCCTGTACCCTGGTTCTTGTATAAAATAAATAAATCTTTAAAAAAAATTTGAATTGAAATCTAAAATACTGAAAACTACACATGCCTCTGTTTTAAAGTGTTGTGTCTCCAACTTTAAGGTGCACATTAACTTCTGAGAAGGTGGGAAAGTCCAAACTGATTGAGTAGGTTTAGGTTGAAGGTACTCTTTCCAACAAGCTCCCAGGTAATCCAAGACTGCTGGTCTATGGAAACTAAACCATAAGTAGGCCAAAAATGAATAAATAAATAAGTGCAGTTCAAAAGAGAAAGGATACTTAGGTGATATCTTCCCAAGTTTTTTTTTTCTTTGAATTTTGCTATTTATCAGCGGTATTTCTTTAGTAACAATTGGTTGGTTTTCCCCTGTCTGGCTCATTTTATACCCAGGAATATCTCACTAATTCAAATTAACATCACAGGAAAACCCATTAAAATTCTAAACCAAAGAAACATAGAAACCCGACCAAAATGAAGTGATTTCAAATGTTACTTTTTAGTCCTCTAAATAACAAATTTCCTAAATGAAAAGCTCTACATATTCAAACTTGGAAGAGGACAAAGTCTGTAAAGTGACCGGTAACAGGTGAGATACTAAATACTAATAAACCAAACTGTTAGAGGCCTCCTGTCTTCAGAAGATATGTTTTGCGTTTTTCTTATAACTTTAATGAGATTTTCCTACTATGTACTACCAACATTTTGAATAAATTGCTGCTCACCACATAAACTTACAACAAGAGCAAACTACATATTCTGCAAAAGCTGAGGAAAGTTGCTGAGAAAAAAATTAAGTGTATCATCACATACAGTCATCTCTATATTATTTTCAAGCAATTCTCAACTACTTTTATAATACAGATTCATTCATTTAACCACCTACTATGTGCCAGGCACTTTACTAAATGTTAAAGATAAAAATTGGTTAGACCTTTCAGATTCTAGCTTGGCCATTTAATGTCAATCTTGTTTCATCGGAGCCTGTTTTTTTCAGGGTTGTGGTAATTGGACTACATACTAACTAAAGTCCGAACATACCTCAGTGTATGATAAACAATGAATAAATTCTAACTATTTGAAATACCAAGTTTGAGTAAGAAGTGGATCCTGCCCTCACTACACCAGTTTTCTACTAGATAGTTCAACACTGGAGGATTATGAAGCAACTTGAAAAGTGGGGTAAAGAAAACATATTTGGACAGCAAATCCACTGGCAAAACAAAAATAAACAATCCCCACAATATATAATGAATCCCAGAATTAAAAAGAAATGTGCTTTGGGTTAGTTCTTGAGTTTGGGTAGTATACAGAGTAATGTCTTCTCCCACTAACAATAGAGTACACTATAAATAAAAAGAACAAATGTTCCAGCTGTGTGGTTTTATGCACAATAAGATCATGATGGGGTAGAGCTTAGGACAATTTTAGTTAAAAGGAAATTGCTTCATATAACAGATTTATACACCATTAACCACAATTCTCTTCCTACCACCTTTGGTAAAGTTATCCAATAGTAACCTCCCTTTATTACAAGTTATTTACCCTACACATAACAATAAACCTAATTAGGGACAATGATCTAAACAAACAGCACAGTTCAAGAGTTTCAGACTTTTGGCTTCAATTGGGGTCAGGGGTTATGTGACACGGTGCAAGCTTTCTAACAGTTCCAAGCTCTAGGCTTTTTATCTTAAAAAAAAATGGTAATAAATTAAAACAAGGAAAGCACTTCGACACGCAACCACCCAATAAATGTCAGCTATGTGCTGTTCCAACGAGAAAATTGAAATTCCTTTAGGTAACCAGAAAGTTAATAAAAATGTAAAGGTTTGGGGTGTTATAAATCCTTGAACTTAAGTTAGTTCGAAACTAAGTGGCCCAAAACAGTGAGAAACAAGAGTAAACTAATTAAACGTATTAACAACACCTGACCCGCCCCTCCTCCTTAATAAGATCCATTTATAAAGTCCTAAACGGGAGCAGCTTTAAACAGGAGCAACTGGATTCTGGAATATTTAACGGCAAAGAATGGCTGCTGAACATTGTCAAATAAATAAAGGAAAAATGGGTTTTCCGCTGTGAACGAGGTGGCGGGTACCCGACTGACTGAAAAGTGAACGGCCCAGCCCTCCCGGACACCCGGCCAGGAGCCCGGAATCAACACGGCTCCTCCCAATGAGGAAGCAGAAGACACTGTGTCCCCGGCGAGTCCCGGCCTCGACAGGCCGAAGCCAGGCGAACGCAAGACGGAATAAGCAGAAACGAGAGTCCGCCGCGGGGTCCAGACTTCGCGCCCGCCCCCCGCCCCCCAGCTCGGCCCCGTCGCCCGCGCCGCTTCCCCCGGACGCCTGAGTCACCCTCCACGCGGCCCTGAGGCCGGGCCCTCCCGGTTACCTTCCGCAGGGAACTCCTCGAATTCGTCGTCCTCCTCCAGGAGACCCAGGTCTACCGGCTGTTTTTTCTCTGACATGGCGACCCTATGCGCCCCAAACCTCCAGGCCCGTCAGAAACTCGGCGCTCGCACTCTTCCTCACCGCCGCTGCCGCCTCGGAGGCCGGCTCTACCATAGAGACGCGGGGGCAGAGCGACGGGAGCGGCGCGAGGGATGCTGGGACTGTGGAGGTCCGCCCAGCGCTTCCTGCGGGTTTAACCATCTGTCAGCGTTAGAAAAGTGTATTGTTTTGTTCCTCTCCCGTTTTATCTGGACTTTCTGAATTGACAAGCGTGAGATGTGGGTACGTTTCCCTGGGTGTGGAAGACTCATAATGTGTTGAAAAATTAAGTGCCTTTACTTAGTCAATGGGTGAGCAATGAAGTGTTGGCCAAGATTCCTGAGAGACCCCCTGAATACCAGGCCTGTAACGCAGACTGGCTCTTTTCTTAAACCGGTTCCCTAAGCATGGTATTAAATATCTCTACATCACAGGAAATTCAGGTTCGGAAAGAAGCAACCAAGGTCACTCAAATAGTCACACACAATTAAAATGCAGGCTGCCTGACTTAAATCTCCAGACTTTTCCTTTATTCAATGTTTCTCTGACTTACAATCACGCTGTGGTAAATACCCTATTAAATAGTTCACTTAGGTGTTGTGTAATAGCTAGTTTATAAGTGCTAATAAAATAATACTGTATAAAGTGCAACAAGTTATATATATATTGAATTTTTCAAATATTGCATATCATTTCGAATATAGTTGTGAGCTATATGAAATTCTATATTGTATGTATATGTGTAATATTATATATGAATGTTATATTATATCTTAAATGTATAAACAATTGGGTATTACTGTAAATTTTGATACAAGTGTTTTGTTTATATACTTAAATGCCCCTCTTTCATTCAACAATATATTAGTGCATACCATGTACCTGGCACTGCGCTAGAAATCATACAAGTAAAGACAAAGTCCTTTCTCTTAGGGAGCTCATATTCTACTCAGAAACATATAAATAGATAGACTTGAATCTGTATTTTAAAAAAAAATTATCAAAGAAATAAACTGTGTGGACATGAACTGACTAAAACAGAACACGAATTTGGACCAGAGTTTGGGAACTGAAAATTAGGTGAATTTTTAAAAATATAAGAAGGCCCTTACAATACTGTATTTATACTGATTACTGAAAACTTTAGCAGTCTTCAATTTATATTCAAAGTATATGTAATTTGGCATATTATGTAAATAAATACCAAATTAATGAAAAAGCCTTGAAGAAAATCTAAAATAGGAGGTAAATATAGACAGAAGTGTAAGTATGTAGTATATTTCTTTGTATAAAAGTACATCTGTATGACAGCATTGTGACTAACTGCTAATAGTTTCTGTGTGGGGTGATAAAATCTTCTGAAATGAATGATGACAGTTATGAAACACAGTAATATACTAAAACTCACTGAAGTGCACATTTCAAAATGGTGAATTTTATGTGAAATATATCTTAATTTTAAAAATGCTGTAAAAAATTTACCAAGGAGCCAGGAATCCCAAATTCTAATTCTTGGACCCTTAGTTTATCTGATATATCAGGACACTGGTGTCAATTTTTAGCAAAAGAAAAGGAATCAATGTCAATGTGGTTATTTTTCCCATAAAGTATTTTAAATTATTTCTATAATTAAATAAAATATAAATGAATATGTTTAATATATTAAGGAATAATTAAAAAGAACAATAATCTTATGTTAAATATTCAATTTTTTAAAAATTTGCTGGTTCTCTAAATCCAGAATGCTGAAACCACCAAAAAAACTTCTCTTTTTAATCATCATGCCACAAGGCACAATGAGTAATTTCTCATTTCACATGGGAAAATGTTATTAAAGTGTAAGAGGTATTATTGCTTAGTTAATTTAAGTACATAGAATGCATATTTGATGAAGGAGGATATAAATCCAAGTTTAGGCAAATTTAATTTCTCTGAAGTGTATTTTATTTGCTTGCAGAGTTATAGTGACAATTAAATGAGACTTTGTATATATAAAGTGCATCACTGAGTACCTGGCATGTAATAATGGCTCAGTACATCTTAACTACATTAAATAAGGAACCTAAATTTATTTATTTTTTTAAAGATTTATTTATTTGTGCATACAAGATCTGGGGTATAGGTCAGAGGTGTGGGCAGTGAGAGGATTCACCAGAGGCAGAGTGGGGAACAGAACAGGCAGATTGACTTAAATATACTGCTGAGTGGAGCAGCGGGCAAGTCAGGATAGGTCTGCTATACCATGTGGGTAGCTCCCTGGCTGGGGATCGAACTCATGCTGCTGTGGCTGTGGATAGCTTCATAGGTTGTGTCTTAACCCCTTGCACCACTAGGGAGGCCCAGGAACTTAAATTTAAAACTATCTCAGATTTTCCAAACCTATTCCAATCCTAAAATTCTCTGTGTATGAGTTTTGTTTCTTAGATGACATTTTGGCAATACTTTTCAATGAAATCAGTTCCTCCTCAAGCTAGTGATGATAATAAAGACATATTGTTAATAATTACTGAATAATAATTAAAAAGATATTAATGTTTATTATTAGTGATTATTCTATTGTTATAGCTAGCGTGTAGTTTTTACTGTATCAGGCACTGTGCTATGTACTTACTTATTGAATCCTCTTAACAATAGCCCTATTCAGTGAGCACAATTTAAATCCATTTTATACTTGAAGGAACTAAGGCACAGGGAATTTTAATGTGACCACAGTCACAGTGCTAAAAAAGCATTGGAGTGATTACATTCTAAGAATTCTCTTAAAGGCCAGGAAACATGCAAGGACCCCCCCCCCAGAATTATTTTTTTTAACACTACTAAACCTATAACTAAACTAAACTAAACCTATAACTAACCGAAGTACTGAGTGCAAAGAAGTAGGCTGAAGAAGAAAAAGGAATGCTAGGATCAACTTAGCTCTCCATGGCTAGGGAAACTCTACAACTCTAAAGAGATGAATAAGTCAAAACTATGCCTTTATCTATATATTTTGTATCTTTAATTGGTTGATTATGTTTAACTTCACAGTTGGGAAATCATTTTATAGTAGATGATTCCATTTGTCCCAAGCAAATCTTTTTTTTTTCCCCTTAAAGTTCCATTTGGTATCTGTATAATATTAGTTACATCATAAACATTGACTCCTTAAGTTTGCTAAGGAGTGACTATTCAATAAATAGACAGAATGAATCATACAGGATTGACCCTTCTGCATCTGTTCCTATACAGAAAGACAAGGCAAAGGGCTGTTAAAGAACTGGTATTTGGAGGAACGATCTTTTCTTAAAGCACCTTCATTTTGATTCAGGAGGGCCAGCCAGCCATGAAGACACAGACCTACACTTCAATTCTCCATGATGTCTTTTCAAGGTATGTAAAATGCTTTGGCTCCATTCACCTTACCTGAGTTCAAATTCAGGTTCTGCTGCTTACCTGCTGAGGAACCCTAGAAAATTACTTTCCATCTTGGTCCTTAGTTTACACATCTTTGAAGTAGGAGTAATGAATTACCTTTCTCAAGGTGGTTGTGTGGATTAAATGGGCTGTTTCATGTAAAACATTCAAAAAGTCGTCTTATACATGTTAAATATACAACCATTGGTATTCTAGTAGTTTGAAATAAGAAAGGAGGGTGATCATGCAGATTCCAATCCTTTAACAATGCATGAAACTCAAGGTTAGAAGAATAGTTTACTATTTCCAGCAGTCTCAATGCTTGTCAATAGGAAATACTTAACTTCTGCTGTGCTATACCTATCTTTATCTCCTTTTTCTGGCCTCCAGAACACAGCCATTTGTCACAGCATCTCTCTGAGGATGTCAAGGGCAAATATTAAATGAGATTAAATCCATAAAGCTAGTTTGCAATACACCTTCAGTACCCTCGTCTCTTCACCAGGTCATAACATTTAGGTAGCTACCAACCATCAAAATTCCACATATATTTTGATTAATGCAAATGTAACTGTAAGATGGAAATTTGAAAGGGAGGGACAAACCAAACCTTGTGCAGTAATGGAAATAAAACACAGAAAGTGTAGAAGAATGAGCTCTTAAGGAAAGTAGAGATTGGGATATCTTTTATAGAACGTCTTTTATTTCTTATAAACCCATAGCTTCCTGTTCAACTTTTCATTCTTTCTCGACCTTTAAAATTTACCCACTTTCACCTAAAATTTATCTTGGTGGTGTGTTCTGTGATCTATTGTTTTGCTGTCTTTTGCTTTTTGGTGTTAAGAAGGTTTAACATGAAATATCCACTTTCTTAAAACATTTTTAAAATATACAGTACAGTATTAACTATAAGCACAATGTTGTACTAAAGATCTCCAGAATGTACTTATTTTGTGTAAATGAAACTTTATACCTTTTGAATAGTAACTCTGCCATCCTCCAGTCCCTGGTAACCACCATTCTATTCTTTGTTTTTATGAATTCGCTATTTTAAATACCTCACATAAATGGAATCATACAGTATGTATCCTTCTGTGACTGACTTATTTCACTTAGCAAATATCCTACAGATGCGTGCTTGTTGTTGCTTTTGGCAGAAATTTTTAAAGGTTGAGTAATATTCCATTGTGTGTATGCATAACGTTTTCTTTATCCATTCTTCTGTGAGTGGACCTTTAGGTTGTTTCCCTATCTTGACTGTTGTGAATAATGCTATCATGAATATGGAAGTGCACATATCTCTCCAAAACCCTGACTTCAGTTATTTTGGATGAATTCCCGGATGTTGAATTGCTGAATCATATTGTAATTCTATTTAAATATTTTTAAGAACTTCCAAAATGTTTTCCTTAGTGGCTGCCCTGTTATGTATTACCAGCAGTAATATCTAAGGGTTTCAATTTTACTGCATCCTTGGAAATATGTCATTTTTTTTTTTTAATAATAAACTTCCTGCTAGATGTGAGGACTATCTCATTGTGATTTAGATTTGCATTATATATAGATGATTAGTGACACTGAGCTATTTTTTTTTAAATATCACAGTGAACGTAGAAGGAAGAGATTTTATTTTATTTTATTTTTAAGATTTATCTATCTATTTATTCATACAAGCACTGGGTACAGTCAGAAGTGCAGGAGGGTGAGAGAACTCACTAGAGTCAGAGTGGGGAGCAGAGCAGGCAGAAGGACCTGGGGGGAGCAGTGGGCAAGGACCTGGGGGGAGCAGCGGGCGGCAGAGAGGTCTGTGCGCCATGTGGGACCCTCCTCCAGTGGCCGGGGAGCAGCCGGGGATTGACCCGGCTCTGCAGAGGCTGCGGGCAGCTTCGCAACCCAGCGCTCATCTGCTGTGCCACCGGGGAGGCCCCCTGAACTATTTTTTTATATTGGCTATTTATGGGGTTTTTTTTGAAGAAATGTCTATTAAAGTCCTTTGTCCATTTTTAGTTGGGTTATTTATTTCTTTTCTATGGAGTTGTAGGAGTTCCTTATATATCTTGGTTATATAAACTTCTAATCAGATATATTGTTTGTGCATATTTTCTTATACTCTGTAGGTTGCCTTTCCACTCTGTTGATTGTTTCTTTTGTTGTGTAGTATTTTTTAATTGATGCAGCCCCACTTGTTGATTTTCCCTTTTGTTTGTGCTTTTGGTGTTATAGTCTAGAAATCATTGGCTAGGACTAATGTCAAGAAGCTCTTTCCTTTGTTTTCATCTAAGATTTTCACAGCTTTGGGTCTAACATTGAAATTTTTAATTCATTTTGAGTTGATTTTTATGTGTGGTATATGTTTAATGGTTTGGGGTATGTAAATTAAAATACAAGAATAAAATAAAGTTATTTTAAAATAGCATGGGTTAACTATGGAGAGCTGTGTGGAGATTTCTTGACCTACTAAACATAGAGTTTCCATATGATCCAGCAATTCCACTCCTAGGTATTTACCCAAAGGGCACAGAAACATTAATTCCAAAGGGCACCTGCACCCCTATGTTTATAGCAGCACTATTTACAATAGCTAAGCTATGGAAACAACCCAAATGCCCAAAAATAGATGACTTGATCAAGAAAATGTGGTACATATACACGATGGAATATTACTCAGCAATCAAAAAAGATAACACATGCAGTTTGCAACAACATGGATGGAGCTACAAGGGATCATGCTCAGTGAAATAAGTCAGAAAGAAAAAGAAAAATACCGGATGGTCTCACTCATAGCAGGAATTTAGAAAACCTAAATAAGGGACCAGAAAAAAGACTAATTAATACAAAGTAAAAATCAAAATCAACAAACAACTATAAACCAGAGACACACTGGAGGTGGGAAGAAAGACTAGGGTCAAAATAAGGAGGGGTGCAATTATATGGGGAATATAACCAAAATGAAAATGCATACATTGTGCAAAAATAATGTTAAGAATTATATAAAATAAAATTAAAAAAAAGAAAATTAAAGCATTCAGTTCTCATGAAATATCACTGCAATATAATAAAGTACCCTTTAGACAAAAAAAAAATAAAATAAAATAGCATGGGTTAGATGAAATGGAAGAGAAAATGCCTTGAGTTTTTGAAAATTTATCTATCTAACAATACTGCATAACTTGTCTAATTTGTTGTGGCTCTTTAATAGTATAAGACTTTCCCTTTATTCTTCTAGGGTCAATAGCTGGCTTATAAAATAAACTGACAACAGGCAAATTAACAGAAGAGGAGTTATACAAATGTATTAATTGCTAATATTACATTCATGAGATGTTGCAGGAATAATAAATGAATATCAAAAAAAGTATTGACTTGAGAGTTTATATAGACAGTCACCAACTTAATTTAGTTTGACTTATCATTTTTCTACCACAATAGTGTGAGAAACCATATTTGCATTTAAGTTGCGATCTTTTCCCAGGATAGCATATGAGGCCCCATGCTATCTCATGGTGGTAGGCAACCCCAGGGAGCTGCAGCTCCCAATCAGCTATTTGGTCACAAGGGTAAACAACTTACTATTACTCTACAGTGTCTTCTACCAGCTAGTCTTGAGCCTCATCAGAAGAGAGCGATTGATGACTCTATAGCTGTAGTATCCCTATCACATAACAGTTGTAGTTCAATGCCTAAAACATTTTGCAGGCCCCTTGTGTATTCGACTTATATGTTAATGGTGAGAACCCAAATAACTATTGTTTTTCACCTTCAGTACAGTGTTCAATAAATTATGTAATATATTCAGTACATATAGAATAGGCTTTGTGTAAACTAAAATTTTTCCACAAAATATTTGGAAGCTTATTCCAGATGGCAAAAGGAAGCCAACAGAAACCACTAATGTAAGTGTTCTGAGCAGATTTAAGGTATGCTAGGTTAAGCTATGGTGTTCACTAGGCTAGGTGTATAAAATTAACTTTCGACTTACCAAATTTTCAACTTACAGTTGGTGTATTGGGAAGTAACCACATTGTAAGTCAAGGAAGGTCTGCATACCATGTGAATAGGGGACGAGGAAGGAGAATATAGGCAATTTAGGGAAGGGCAAATGATTTTTTGGAAAGATGAAAGGGCCCTTAGGAAGGATGGATGGTAGATATGATAGTTTGTGACAGTTTGTCTGGGTGTGGTATTGTCTTCTAGTTTCCTCCACAGTGGTAAGAGTCATTCCAGGGGAAGACATTTATGACAATTGATTTTCTTTTGGAGGATCCGTTTTTAGGTAGGTGTGTGGGAGTTGAGAGAAAACCTCTGCCTGCATTTGTCATCTTTAAAGTGCCTTCAACTGAAAATAATCAATATACTAAAGCAGCATATTTTGGCCTGGCATATTCGGAACTCTTTCAACAGCCATACTATTGATAAATATAAAGGTTTGCTTCTCATTATCGGAACTTTTCCTCTGAAATGGTCTTGCTCCGTAAACATTAGGAGACTTAGCTTTTTATAAAGGGATATATATATATATATATATTATGTGTATATATAGTATATATATATATACTATATGTGTATATATAGTATATATGAATAACTTAAATTTTCATTAATTTTATGGGCGTTCTATAATGAATGATTCTAGACTTTGATTACAGTCTTAATCAATGAAGATTTCTTAGCTCTTTTATCATGACAAAATGCTTGGACAAGTAAAAATATATGAGAAATAATAATTGTAAAATAACTTTCTAAAATAACTAGATTGCATTGAAGAGGAGTTAATAATGAATAAAGAAATGGTAGCATAAAATCCAAATGCTAATAATAAATACTTAATCTACCACAAAGTAAAAGCCCAGCCAAAAAGACTCCTTTTTGCACCAAAATACATGTTCAAAAATCGATATTTGCATGCCCAAGACTTGTTTGAAAAAGCGATTATGGTCTCACAAGTAAATCATAAGAATTTTTAAAATTTTGTAAAT